ATCGCGACGACGAACTCGTCGAAACTCATCTTCCCGTCGACGTCGGCGTCGGCGAGGTCCCAGATTTGTTTTAACCACTCCTTCGGGAGCCCCGCGGTGACGAGGACTTGGACGATCTGCCCAGCCTCGAGGTGCTCGCTCGCGGGCCCGTTCGCGGCGTTGAGCTGGTCGAACCGCGCGCGGTGTCGCGCGACGTCCGCGTCGGCGACGGCGGGCCAGCTCGCGACGCGAATCGGCTCGGGCTCGGGCTCGGGCTCGGGCTCGGGTTCGGGCTCGGGCTCGGGCTCGGGCTCGGGCTCGGGCTCGGGCTCGGGCTCGGGCTCGGATTCAACCTCGGGCTCGGGTTCTTCGACCATCACCGGGAACGTCCCCGCGGGCAGCTCGTCGAGCGAGCCCGGCAGCGCGCGTCCCTCCGTCGCGCGTTCCGCCAGGTACATCGCGACGACGAATTCGGAAAACGTCATGCGACCGTCCCCGTCCGCGTCCGCGAGATCCCAGATCTTCTTCAGATGCGCCCTCGGGAGGTTCGCGCCCGTCTCCGTGAGAAGCGCGACGACCTGCGCGCCCTCGAGGTACTTCGTCCCGTTCCCGGCGGCGTCGCACAGGGTGTCGAAGTCGATGCGACGCCTGGCGGCGTCCTCGTCAGAGACGGGGGGCCACGACGACGACGCCGATCCTTCTCCTCCGTCCTCCGCCGTGATCTCGGACGCCGGCACCTCCGTCGTCGTCGTCGTCGTCGTCGGTCGCTCCGGGCGCGACATTCGCGGGAACGTATCGGGAGGGAGCTCGTCGAGCGAGGTCGGCGGCGGCGTCCCCGCGCTCGCGCGTTCCACGAGGTACATCGCGACGACGAATTCCGGAAAGCTCATTCGCCCGTCGCCGTCGTCGTCCGCGAGGTCCCATATGTGTTTCAGCATGTCCCGCGGGAGCCCGGCGTCCATGAGCACTCGCACGACGTCGCCGCCGTCGAGGTACCCGTCGTTCGTGGTGTTGATCGCGTCGAATCGCGCGCGATGGCGCCCCATCGCGTCATGCGACAGTCGCGGCCAGGTTTTCCTGGCTTTTTTCCATCGCTTCTCCTGCGCTTTCTGCTCCGCTTTCTCCGCTTTCAGCGCCGCCTTCTCTTGCTTCGTCAACTTCCTCTCGGGCGCCATGACGGAAGAGCGCGCGAGGAGCCCCGCGCGCGATCCCACCACCCCGGGTGGCGGCGTTGTGATCGATCGATCGCGTAATTTGGCAATCGACGACAAGACCGCGACCGACTGGTCCCCATACGACCGCGTTGGCGTGGTGAACGCCGATCCTTAAGGACTTTTTTTGGTATCGAAACCGAAGGTACTCAGCGAGTCGCGGACGCGACGCTCGTCACATCGCGACGCGCTCGTCCCACCACCGAGCCGCCGTCCTCTCGCATCAGCTCCGCGACCGCGTCGTCGTCGGCCCTCGTCGCTCGCGCGCGTGGCCGCCCGTCGTCGGCCATCGCGCGTCGCCGTCCGTCGTCGTCCTCGCGCGTAAACCCGACGATCGATCGCGTTATCGACAACCGGACGAAGGCGGACTCGCGGGAAACGACGTCATGACGTCCGTCGCGTTGCCGACGGCCGCGGCGCCGCGCGCGACGCCTCGCGCGTCGACGACGCGCCACCGCGGCCGCGGCCGCGCCGCTAGGAACGCACGATGCCGCGCCGCCGCGGAGCCGGACTGGAAGACGAAGCAGCGCGAGCAAGACGCGCTGATCAGCGTCGAGGAGGACGCCGTCAAGCGACGCGTGGAGGAGCTCCTCGCGCCGATCCTCGACGTCGGCGCGGGAGGAGACCCCGGCGACGCGGCGAACGGCGCGGGCCGCCCCGCGTCGGATCTCGCGAAGAAGATCCGCGACGCGACGTCCGTCCTCGAGTCCGGGCTCGTGGAGCGCGAGACGGAGGTGCGACTGCTCCTCCTCGCCGCCTTCTGCGGCGAGCATCTGCTGCTGCTCGGTCCGCCGGGGACGGCCAAGTCAGGCGCGTCCCGTCTCACACTGGTTCCCATACGACCCCGTCCGCGTGGTGAACGCCGATCCTTAAGGACTTTGCCCGGCGTTCGTCTCTCTCCGCCCAGGGTCCCTCGCTCACAATACCCGCCCTCGGCGCCTTTCAACTCCGCTTCTGACGCCCGTCGTGAACTCCGCCCCGACGTCGCTTATTCGTACGGACCCTCGACCCTCAGAGCTCGGGCGGCGCCTGTCCTCCATCTGCGACGGCGGCGCGTTCTTCGAGCGGCTACTGACGCGGTTCAGCGTCCCGGAGGAGCTCTTCGGGCCGCTGTCCATGCGCGGGCTGGAGAACGATCTGTACGTGCGGCAGACGGAGGGGTACCTTCCGACGGCGACGGTGGCATTCGTGGACGAGGTCTTCAAAGCCAACTCGGCCATCTTAAACTCGCTGCTCACCATCCTCAACGAGCGGCTGTTCGATAACGGCGCGGAGCGCGTCAAAGTCCCGCTGCTGTGCCTCGTCGGCGCGTCGAACGAGCTCCCCGAGAGCGAAGAGCTCGACGCGCTGTACGACCGCTTCCTATTGCGGTCCAGCGTCGAGCAAGTCAGCGCGGGGTCTCTGTCCGGGTTGCTCTCCATGCGCGCGGCGGAGTTCGCGTGCGACGCGAAAGTCGGCGGCTCGAAAGACGACCCGGCGTGCGAATCCCTGAGCGTGGCTGACTTCGAGGGCGTCAAGGCGGAGGCGGAGGCGCGCGTGGACGTCCCGCGCGGCGTCGTCGACCTCATCGTCGACCTCCGCGCGTACCTCCAAGACTCGTGCGAGCCCCCCGTGTACGTCAGCGACCGCCGCCTCGTCAAGGTGCGTTCTATCTCACACTGGTCCCCATACGACCGCGTCGGCGTGGTGAACGCCGATCCTTAAGGACTTTTGCCCGGCGCATCTCTCCGCCCACCACCCCTCGCTTTCAATCCCGACACACCTCGGCGCCTTTCAACTCCACCTGACGCCTTTCAACTCCACCCCGACGTTCGCTCGCCTCGCCTCGTCAAGTCCATCGCGTTGCTCCGCGTCGCCGCGTACACCAACGGCCGCTCCGCCGTGAGCGAGTTCGACTGCCTGCTGCTCGCGAACGTGCTGTGGCAGCGCCCGAGCGAGGCGCGAACGATCAGGGAGTGGATCCTCGAGCGGCTCGCGCGCGATCGCGGCGTGGAGCAAGTGCAGTATCTCCTCGCCGGGCTCTTCGGCCGCGCGTGCCGCGCCGACGGCGACCCGACGGAGGTGCGTTCTATACACTGGTCCCCATACGATCGCGTTCGCGTGGTGAACGCGGATCCATAAGGACTTTCGCCGGCGTTTCTCTCCGCCCAGCCCTCGCTTTCAATCCCCTTCCTCGACGCCTTTCAACTTCAACTGACGCCTTTCAACTCCACCCCGATGTTCGCTCGTATGGAACGACCCGGAGTGCGGCGCACTCGCGACGGAGGCGGCGTCGCTGCGTGGGGTTCTCACGTCGCAGATCACCGCGCTCGCGGGGACGACGAGCGGGTCGCTGCCCGCGCTGAGGGATCACCTGTGGCTGTCGCCGCCCGAGGCGGAGCGCGCGTCGCAGACGTTGGGGCCGCTGTTCTCGAAGGTGCGGCGGGGGCTCGAGAAGCTTCTTCGCGAGACGCTCACTCTGGAGGTGGCGCTTGAGAGGAACACGGAGCCGCACATCATGGCGCTGTTGCTGCCGGATTACTGGGCGGATTTCATACGAAGCGGGCCGATCGAGGACGTGAAACCCCTGGGCGTCGGGAGCAAGCCGTGAGCGAGGCGGCGAGAGGTTAGAGGCGGCGGCGGCCGGGAACGAGAGTACACTATTTTTTCTTCATCGTCCAGTGGTAGAACCGGTCTCCGTCCAGTCTCTTCCACAGCAGTCGTCGATCGGATCTGCGACGTCCGACCCTCCCGTCCCTCGTAGTACCCTCTTCTTTCGTCTCCTCCTCCCAGAAACGCCGCGTCACTCCCCGCCGCCCCGCACGCGCACGCGCACGCGCGCGCGCCGACGCACGTCATGACCTCCCTCGCGCACGCCGCGCGCGCGCGCGCGAACGGTCTCCGCCGCGCCTCCGCGGTCGCGGTCTCCGCGATGCCCCGCCTGGCCTTCCCCGACGCTTCCGTCGGCGCCTCGAGACGCGCGACGACGTCGTTCGCGGAGGCGAACGCCGCGACGAACAGAGCGCTCGCGCGCGCGTCCGCGATCCGCGCGTTCTCCGCCGGGATCGACCCGGACGCGGGCTCGCGTATCCCGTCGCAGCTGCACGACGCCGAACACGCGCGCAAGGACATGTACTTCCGCGCGGAGGACGCGAAAGCGCTCGAAAAGCTGACGCGAAAGGCGCGCGCGCAGGCGCGCGAAAAAGCGGGCGAAGATCCCGCCTCGTCAGCGGACGCGCGACGCCGAGCGCTCTGGGCGCTCTTCGACGAGTCGCCGAAGCGCAAGGAGGACGCCTGGACAGAGCTTCGAAAGATCGTCCCCACGGTGAACGAGGAGACGATCCGCAAGCTCTTCGAGTGGAAGTATCTCCGTTGAGAGGAGAAAAAACGAAACGGCGGATACGTGAGCGTTACGTTGTGTGTGTTGTTCGTTTGATGAACCTACCGCGCGCGCGTCTCTTGCTGTGCGCGCGCGTCTCTTGCTAAATGTTTTGGGTTCGCTACAGTAATACGTCGCGTCATCGAGGCCCCGTCCATCGGCCGCCTCCCCCCCACCCGACTCTCGGCCCGAAAAATATCCGCAGCGCGAGCGTGAACGCGAGCGTCGCCAGCATCCCGACCCACTGCGTCTGCGTAAAGTGCCTCGACTCGACGTCCTCGAGATCCGTCCTCGTTCGCGCGAGCTCCGACGCGACGGACCGCGACCGCGTCGTCTCCGTCTTCAACCGACGCTTCACGCCGTTGAGCTCGTCGTACGCGCGGTCCGTCTTCCGCGCGAAGTCTTCGATCTCTCGCTCTCTCGCGGCGAGCCGCACGCGCGCGATCTTCGCCTCCGACCGCGCGGCGTTCCGCGTCTGTTCCGCGCGGTCGAGCAGCCGGCGAAGGTAGGCGTTTTGGGCAATCTCAGCCTCTAGCCGCGACGACATCTTTCCGCTCTCGCCGTTCTTCTCCGCGTTCGCGAGCGCGGCTTCCGCTTCCATGATCCTCACCTCGAGCGCTTCCTTCTCCCACCCGGACTCCTCGAGCCGCAACTCCGCCTCCTCCAGCGCTTTCCGCAGGCCCTTCACCGAGCGGTCCGGCATCGTGTCCATCGCGGTGCCGTAGCCGCCGCCGTCGTCGTCCGTCGCGGGTCCCGCGTCTTCGCCGTCTTCGCCGCCGCCGCGCTCCCGCCGCGCTCCCGCCGCGTCCTCCCACTCCGTCTCCGGCTCGATCTCCGACACCGGGTGAAGGAGGCTCGACGGCGGCGACGGAAGGTCGCTCGGCGACGGCGGCGGGCGCGGCGGCGGCGGCGCGCCTTCGTCCTCGCGCAACTGCCGCAACTGCTCCGCGCGACGCCGCGACGCCGCCGCCTCCGCGGGCTCCCGATCCGAGACGTCCGCGCGGTCCGGCTCCGTGTCCGAGATGTCCGAGATCGCGCTCGCGGCGGCGCGCTCGCGGCGGCGCGCGGTCGCGGTCGACGGCGGCGTCAGCGTCGGCGGCGTCGGCGTCGCGGCGGTTCGAAACTCGAACCGTCCGTCGTCCTCGTCGTCCTCGCCGGCGAACCGCGGCGACAGCAACGGCGACGGCGGGCTCAGCGCGCGCCGTCCCCCCCCCCCGCCGCCGTCGTCGTCGTCGTCGTTCGCGCCCACGCCGAGCTGCGCGCTGAGGTTCAGCGGCGTCAGGCGCGCGGGCGGCTTGGGACTCGGACTCGACGCGAAGTCCGCCGCCGTCGTCGCCGCGTCGTCGTCGTCGACGCCGAGGCTCGCCTTCTTCGCCGCCGCCGCCATCATGATCCGCCTCGCCGCCGCGGCTTTCCCCATCGCTCCCCCACCTCCCGGCGAGCCTCCGACGCTCCTCGCGGGCGAGAACGCGTCCCCGAACGACACCGAGCCCTGGGTCACGTCCGACCGACCACCGGCGGACTTGGCCGGGGAGGCGGCGGCGCGAAAAGCGGCGGTCATGATCCGACGCGCCGCGTCCGCGCGGTTCGCCGGCGACGTCGGCGACGCGCGTCGTCGCGGCGACTCGTCCCACGCCGCCGGCGCGACGATCTCCTCCTCGCCCACGGGCGGCAGGCGCGGGGATCCGCCGCCGCGCGCCGCGGGCGGCGGCGGCGACTTCCGCGGCGTCATCATCGGCGAGGACGTCGACGACGGCGAACGCGACGGCGAGCGCGGCGGCGGACAAGCGTACGACGCCGCGGCGGAGTCCTCTAGCCACCGCGGGTCGAGCTCGCCTCGGACGACGACGCGGTCTTCTTCTTCGCGGAGGCGGACTCCGTCGTCGTCGTTCGCCGCCGCGACCGCGCGCGCCGCCGCGAACGAATCGTCCGCGCCCCCCTCCGCGCCCGGCGTGCGATACGACGCGTCGTCCTCGGACCCGCGCGCCTCCGTCGGGCTCGACGGCACGTCCAGCGCCGCGGGCCGCCGCGCCGTCGGCGTCGGCGTCTCCATCGCCGTCGACGGCGGCGGCGTCGCCTCCGTGATCTCCGGCGTCGTCGCGTCGCGTCCTCCGCTCTCCCGCGGCGCCGGCGTCCACGACGACGTCGCCCATCCCGGCGCGCGGCGCGTCGCCGTTCTCAACTCGGGCGTGACGACGTCGACGACCTCGCGCCGCCGCCGTCTCTCCTCTCTCTCCTCTCTCTCCCTCTCCGCGACCGCGACCGGCGTGACGTCGTCGGCGGTGGCGGCGTCGTCGCCGAGCCACTCGTCCCATCGCTCGCTCACCGGGCTCGGCGTGCTGTTCGACGGCGAGCTCCCCGGGGTGGTCCCCCCGTCGTCTCCGCTCCTCGCCTCGGCTTCGGCTTCGGCTTCGGCTTCGGCGTCGCCGCCGTCCGACGCGTTCGAGCCGCGGCCGCGCTGCTTCTCCGTCGGAGGGGACTCGCCGTCGCCGTCGTCGCGCGAGGACGACGACGCGTCGCTCCGCGACGACGCCGGCGACGCGCTCCTGGAGATCTTCCCCAGGAGCGTCTCCAGTCGCCTCGCCTTGCCCAGGAGCGCGTCTCTGCGGCGTCGCTCGAACGGCGACACGATCACCGCGGCGATGTTCGACGCCGTGGACGCGACCGTGGACGGCGGCGAGCGCTCGTCGCTGTTCGTGTCGTCCGAGTCGTCCGACGGCGAGTTCGCGCGCGGCGCGGACGCGGGCGTCGTCGTCGTCGTCGTGTTCGTCGAAACCGTCGTCGTCTCGTCGTTCCGCATCGCGACGTTCGACCTCGGGCGCGACGGCGCGCGACCGGACTGCGTCGCGTTGACGTTCTCGTCCAGGCTGACGCTCGCGGTGTCGGAGCCGGATATCGACGGCGTCGCGGTCGTCGCGGGCGCGACCGCGACGCGCGGCGGCCTCGGCGTCGGGACCTTCGTCGCGCCGCCGACGCCGGGCCCCCCGGACGGTGGCGGGCGAGCCGACGCGGACGACGACGACGACGGAGGCTGAGGAGGACGCCGGCGCGGTCCTCCGCGACCGCCTCCTCCGCCGGTCCGCGACGGCGACCTCGGCGTTCGCGCGCCGCCGCCGGTGCCCGGCGCGCGCCGGGCGCCGTCCGGCTCCTCCATGCGCGCGACGACGAGGCCGGCGCGCTCGTCGTCGTCCCGCGGCGCGCGCTCGCTCTGAGTCCATTCCATCCGTCCGCGTCCGCGAGCTCGACACCGTCCACCAACGTCTCTCGGAAATAAACCGGCGCGCGCCATTCGCGCCACCCACCGGGCGCGTTCTCCGGCGAGAGCGTCTACTAGCTAGGAGGCGTTCCCGCTCCAGCCGCGGCGCCCGAACCTGGATCTGGACCGCGTGTACTACAGTACGTCTGAGCGGGGGTGAAGGCGGGTCGACGCGCGTCGAGAGAGCGAGAGAGAGCGAAGAACGTGCCACCCAGCCGTCGACAGCTACTGATGTGTGTTTGTACCTAAATTTAATTCGATCGTCTCCCCGCTTCGCGTTCTCCCGCCGATCGCCGCCGCCGCGTCCCTCCTCCCGCCGTCGCGTCGCCGCGTCGCCGCGTCATCAATAAAACGCGATCGCGAAGAGCAAGATCAACAGCCCGGTCAAGATCGCGATGATGCACATCTGCCCTCTGACCCCCGCCTTCTTCAACACCTGATTCATCTTCCTCTGCGCCGCCCTGAGGGTCGTTCCATACGAGCGAACGTCGGGGTGGAGTTGAAAGGCGTCAGTTGGCGTTGAAAGGCGTCGAGGACGGGGATTGAAAGCGGGGGGTGGGCGCAGAGAGACGCCGGGAAAAGTCCTTAAGGATCGGCGTTCACCACGCGATCGCGGTCGTATGGGGACCAGTGTATAGAACGCACCTGAGCCTCGAGTTGGTCCCCTCCACGTCCGTCTCGAGATCGTCGAGCATCCGCCCCTGCGTGTCGAGCTCCTCTCCGATCGTCAGCCCCACCTGCCCGATCCGACTGATGCTCGCGCTGATGTCGTCCAAGTCCACGTCCTGCCGCCGCAGCAGCGTCTGCTGCTGGTCGCTCTGCGCTTCCAGGTACCCGTCGTTCGCCGCGCGCTGCTGCTGCCGCGACGCCGCGTCGTCGTCTCCTCCTCCTCCGCCGTGGTACCCCGCGCCGCGTCGCTTCCTCGCCTCGATCACGCCGTTCGCCTTATCGCACAGCGCGCTCGCGGTCGCCTTCGTCGCCGCGGTCCATCGCTTCCTCGACGTCAGCTCGCTCGCGTCCACCTTGAACCGCGCGAAGTCCCGCTCCGCCATCGCGGTCGCGCGGTCCAGCTCGTCGAGCTGCCAGAAGACGCTCTCGCATTCGCTCTTCGCGGACGTCGCGTACCGAACGCGCTCGCCGTTGCCCTCGGGGAGGCGGTCGACGCGATCGCACAGCGCCTTGACCTTGTTCACGCTCTCCTGGATCTCCTCCTTGACGAGGTAGAACGGGTCGTTCGCGGACGACATCGCGGCGGCGCCGGGCGTGCGCGGCGCGGAGGCGCGCGCGGTCGGTTTGAATTCGAGACACGTGTCTGGTTGCACAGCTTGCAGTGCTTTTCCCGAGGCGCGCGCGAGATCTCGGCACCTCGTCGCACTCCCGCGCGCGTCCGGCGGGATGGACCGCGCGACGGTCAGGGCGCTGAAGCGCGCGCTCGGGTGCGAGACGTTCGCGGAGCTCAAGACTACGTCGCGTCGGTTCCAGTGCGGCGAGTTCGACGCGGCGACGTATCACGCGTACGCCGGCGCCGTCCTCGACGGGAGGCCGGATCTCGTCCGGAGCCTGTACGACTCGCTCCCCGACGAACGCCTGCGAGACGCGTGCCTCGCGATGCACGCGACGTCGTCCGGCGGCGGGTTCGTCGACGCGCGCGGGGACGGAGGCGGAGGCGGAAGCGGAAGCGCGCGAGGAGGGTCGACCGCGACGACGGCGACGGCGACGGCGACGCGCGCGTCGACGAGCGCGGAGGTGCTCGCGCCCGGTCTCGTCTGCCTCCGCCGCGCGCTCGACCTCGACGCGCAGGCGTGGCTCGCGGACGTCGCGTTCGACGTCGGCGAGAGCAAGGCGTCGGGCGGCGACGAAGACGACGACGCCGAAACGCGTTAGGGGTTCTACGACGCGATCCCGGGAGAGAACCCCGGGGAGGCGTCCGTGTTGCGACTGAACCAGGGCACGCGCGGCCGCGTCGTTCTGCCGATGGACGCGTTCCCGTCGCGGCTCCACGAGATCGTCCTCGAGTGCGTCCGCGCCGCGCAGGCTGCGGATTCCAAGCGAAACGTCCCGGACATGCGCCCTACGACGGCGCTGGTGAATTTTTACAAGGAGGGCGCGCGGTTCAAGTGGCACCGCGACAGCGAAGACCCGGAGGTGGCGCGCGTGGACGCGGGACCGCCCATCGTGTCGTTCACCGTCGGGCTCTCCGCGGATTTCGCGTACAAACGCCGGTTCGAGGACGAGACGCACGACGTCGTGCGGCTGAACAGCGGCGACGTTTTGCTGTTCGGCGGGCCCGCGCGGATGATCGTGCACAGCGTGACGCGGGTCGTGCCGCGGACGATGCCGCCGATGCTGAGGGGGCGGATGTTGCACGGGCGGTTGAACGTCACGGTGCGAGACATCGGACGCGGCGTGATCGACGCGAGCAAGTTTCCGGCGTACAGGGTGACGTACGGGGGGGTGGACTCGAGCGACCACGTGTAGGTAGAGGGGTAGACGTAGACGTAAGATGGAGGTACTGTACTGTAGGGGGAGAGGCGACGCGACGTAGGAGCTCGTGCCTTCGAAGGGAGTGATCGACGACGATACTCGTACCCGAGGAGAAATTCGCCGAGTTACGCCGCCGTACGCTCAAAGTGTTGTCATCTCATCTCGTGGGGTATCTATCGCGCGTGATGACCACATCACCTCCCCATCGCCCCCATCAACCCCTCCTTCGCGATGATGTAATCCAACCCCCCCGTCACCGCCGCCACCTGCGCTGAGTTACACTCCTCGTCCGACGCCGTCGGCGAATCCGGATACACCTCCGTCGTCGTCGTGTACTTCGCGCCCGTGATGCTCGCGCACAGCCCGAGCGCTTTCAAAGGGTACTCGATCACGCCCTCCTGCGTGATCGGCTCGCCTATGATATTCCCGCTCGCGTCCGGCGGCGCGATGTGCGTCACCTTCGCGACGCTCCGAATCACCGCGGCTTGAAAATCGAAGCGCGAGTTCTCCGCGTCGCCGACGCAATAAAACCCATTCGGGACGACGTCGGGCGCGTTCGTCTCGCCGTCCCTCGCCGCCTTCGCCGGGCGGAACTCCGCCTCGTCGCTGTCCGTGGTCTCGTGCAGGTCGAAGTGCGCCATCCACTCGTTCTGGGCCCCGAGCTCCATCGAGTCGACCAGCGCCAGGAGCGCGGCCGACTCGGGCGACGGCGGGTCGTACGCGACGGCGCGGTCGAACGACCGGTTGGGATCCACCGCGAACGCGTTCCACCGCTGGATCCGCTCGTACCCCCACGGGCTCACGCACGGCGCGACGAGGACGTTGAAGACGTCGAGGTAGTTCCCCGCGGCGGTCTCGAGGAACGCGATCGCGCCTTGGACGCCGCTGGTCTCGTACCCGTGCACGCCGCCGGTGACGAGGACGGACGGTTTGTCCTTCGACCATTCGCGCGAGACGCACGCGAAGAGCGCGTAACGGTCAGGGTCCGACGCGTCGTACGGCAGCGCGCCGTATTTCACAACCTCGAAGCGATCGCCGTGTGATGACGTCTTCAGCGCGTCGAGCTTCGCGAGGACGTCGTCCGCGTACGAGCGCTTCGGCGCGTCCACGCGCGCGCGCCATCGCTCGCGCTCGGTCGTCGTCCACGGCACGCCCGGCGTGCCGATCGGGTATCCGTCCGGGTACTGATCCGGCACCGTCGTCATCGCGACGACCGCGCCGGCGGCGGCTGGGTTGCGCGCGAGGGGGTGGGCGGCGGCGGTTCCGCGCGCGCGGCGGCGGGCGAAGAGGAGCGAGCGCAGGGGAGGCGCGAGCGCCGAGCGCATCGCCGAGTGGAGGGAGAGGTCGTCGTGGAGACGGCACGGCACTCCTGTCGCCGCGTCTTGGCTGGTGTCGAAGCGAGAAGACCAACAGAATGTTTTTGAATAAATTCCTTTGCGCGTCTTCGCGCGGCGTCAGAGGAAGCGACCCCCGACGCCGCGCCTCGGACGCCGCGCGCGGTCTCCGCGACACGAGCGCCGCGATGTCGTTAGGTGCGCGCGCGACGCCGTCGAATCCCCCCCTCCCTCCCACCCCGCGTCCTCGCCCCGGCGATTCGAATCCAACCGTCCGAGACGGAAGAAGAGATGAAACGCGCGAACGAACGCGAGAGAAAAGCGCGTCAGCCCGCGAACGCGATCGACTCATCACCTCTCCCCAACCCCCGCCCTACCCCGCCAAACTCCCTTCCGCAGACTTCTCCGAGACGTACAAGCGCACGGGCCCGCCCCCGACGTTCAGCCCGGACGGGCGATACCTCGCGACCGCGGTGGACCACCGATGCGTGATCCGCGACGCGGAGTCGCTCGAGGTGCTCTCCATCTCTCAGTGCGTCGAGCACATCGATCGCGTGGAGTGGTCGCGCGACGGCGACCACGTCCTCTGCGCGCAGTACCGCGTCGGCGTCGTGCAGTGCTTCTCCGTGTCCAACGACGCGTGGACGTGCAAGATCGACGAGGCGGCCGCGGGATGCGTCTACGCGCGGTGGACGCCCTGCGGCACGCAGATCATCACCGTGGCGGAGTTTAACGTCCGAGCGACGGCGTGGTCGCTCGTCGACCGAAGTTGCGTCGTTCTGGACGCGCCCAAGTTGGCGTCCGCGGACGGGTTCTCGTTCTCCCCCGACGGGAAGTTCCTCGCGTACGCGCGCAGGGAGGCGTGCGTGGATTACGTGAGGGTGGTATCGACGAAAACGTGGACGACGGCGGCGGATTACCGCGTCGCGACAAGGTGCGTTCACCTTACACTGGTCCTCATACGACCCCGTCGGCGTGGTGAACGCCGATCCTTGAGGACTTTTCCCGGCGCATCTCTCCGCCCAGGGTCCCTCGCTTTCAATCCCCGCCCTCGGCGCCTTTCAACTCCGTCTGACGCCTTTGAACTCCACCCCGACGTCGCTTCGTATGGAACGACCCTCAGCGACTGCGCGGGCCTCGCGTGGTCGCCCGACGGCACCTCCATCGCGGTGTGGGACGCGCCGCACAGGGACTCGCTCGTGGTGTCGTACGCGCCCGACGGGACGCTGAAGAAGAAGTACGCGGACAAGAACGAGGGGCCGCTCGGGGTGAAGAGCGCGCGGTGGTGTCCGGATGGCAGCGGCATCGCGATCGGGTCGTTCGATCGGAGGTGCGTCGTTTTGAACCACGTGTCGTTCGCCCCCGCGCTGGATTTGCGTCACGCCGACGCGGTGCGACTGCCCACCACCGCGGCGGTGTACAAGGAAGTGGAGGAGGTTGTGTACGACGGCGCCGGCGCCGCGGGGGAGAACGGCGGCGGCGAAAACGACGAAAACGACGAAAACGACGAAAACGGCGGCGAGAACCGCGAGAAGGCGGCGTGGCCGCTGTGGCGCGTCGAGGGAAACCCGTACGACATGGAAGCTTCCGCGCCGGACGCGAAAGAGGCGCAGCTGAAAGCGTTGCACAAGGGCGAAGCGCGCGTCAGCGCGCGGTACGTCGTCCAAAAACTCCCGGCGCCGGTGCCGACGACGCGACCCGGGACCCGTCCCAAGCTCGGCGTCGGGCGAACGGAGTGGTCGCACGACGGTCGGTTCATCGCGACCGTGGACGAGAAGTCGCCCACGGCGGTCTGGATCTGGGACGCGGTCGACAGCGGCCTCGCCGCGGTGCTGCTGCAGATGGGAGACGTGACCGGAGTGAGCTGGGACCCGCGCGGGGATCGGTTGGCGGTGGTGACCGGCGGGGAGAGGGTGTACGTGTGGACGCCGGAGGGCGCGTCGTTCGTGCAGATACCGCTGCCGGACTTCAACGCGAAGGACGTGGCGTGGTCGCCGACGGGGGGGGAGATGGTCCTGAGCGACGATAAGACGTTTTGCTGCTCGTTCATGCAGTGACGACGACGACGACGACAGCTCGCGTCGGGTTTAATAATTTAAGACGAAGGTAGAGATTTACGTCGACGCGTCGCGCGGAACCGACGGCGTCGGCGTTCGACGACGAGACCGCCTCACTCCTGCTTCCTCGCCCTCGACGCCCTTCGCGCCGCGTTCCCGAACGGCTTCTCGTGCCGCGCGAGCTCGAGCGCCATCCACGCCGGGACGACGAGGTAGGGCAGGTATATAAAAAACAGCTTCCACCGCGCGGCTTCGCTCTTCATCTCCAGCGCGTGGAGGATCGACGCGAGGATCGGAATCAGCGTCGTCGCCGTGTGTGCGCCGTAGCATATCCCGGGTATCCTGATCCAGTTCTCTCTCCGCGTGAACGCTCTGAGCCCGACGAAGAAGAACGGGAGCTGGAACAGGAGCTCGAACAGGATGAACGACTTGAACCACACCGGCGGATCCGCCATGAGCGGGTCCGCGTTCTGCTCGCAGTGGAATCGGAGCAGCGCCCTCGCGAAGGACGGCACGACGGACGGCGGAAGGAGCGCCTGGGAGTCCATCAAGATCGTCGCGGGGATGTGCGTCGCGAAGAAGACGATGACGACGAGCCGGAACGTCTCCGAGACGGCCATCACGGAGGGTCGCGGACGCGAGGCGGCGGGCGCGCGCGCGCGTTTGACGCCGGTGGCACTCTCATTTCATCACCGCTGCTGACGACGCAGAATCTGTTCGGGCGTGCTGGCTTTTCGTTCGCCGCGGGGGGTCGAGTCGCTCGAGACGCCGCGAGGACGCGCGTCCGCGGTCACACGCGCGCGCGCGCGGCGTTCGATCTCGCCGAGGTCCTCGCCACACCGCCCGCGCGCCCGCGCGCGTCGCGTCGCGTCGCGTCGAGCCCCGAGCCTCGCGTCGTTCGTCCGCGTGTCGGACACTCGATCGCCGGTCGTTGACCGCGCTCGTCTCTGCCCCCGGGGCGGACGACGACGACGGACGCGAAGCGATGACCGAGCTGCTGACCCCCGGGGGATCGCGCCGAGCGGAGGCGAGCGCGGGGGACGAGACGATCCCGGTCACCCCCGGCGCGACGACGCGCGCGGACGGCGCCGGCGACGGCAAGGTGCGCCGCGGAAGCCCCCCGCGCGCGGCGTCGACGCCCCCGCACAACTCGCCGTCCGTCCGTCCATCCTATCCCCGTCCGTCGACTCACCTCGACTCACCCCGCGCGCCTCCCCCGCGTCGCCGTCCCGAGCAGTCCTCGAGCTTCATGGTGTGCGGCAACCTGTTCGAGGTGGACGCGAAGTACGTCCCGATCAAACCCATAGGCAAGGGCGCGTACGGCGTCGTGTGCAGCGCGAAGAACGCGGCGAGGCCGGGGGAAAAGGTGGCCATCAAAAAGATCACCAACGCGTTCGAAAACGCCATCGACGCCAAGCGCACGCTGCGAGAGATCAAGCTTCTGCGGCACCTGAAGCACGAGAACGTGATACGCATCACGGACGTCTCGGACCCGCCGCCGCTGGAGACGTTCAACGACGTGTACGTGTTCTACGAGCTCATGGACACGGATCTGCATCAGGCGCGTTCTATACACTGGTCCCCGTACGACCCCGTCGGCGTGGTGAATGCCGTTCCTTAAGGACTTTGCCCGGCGTGTCTCTCCGCCCAGGGTCCCTCGCTTTCGATCCCCGCCCTCGACGCCTTTCAACTCCACCTGACGCCTATGAACTCCACCCCGACGTTCGCTCGTATGGAATGGCCCTCAGATCATTCGGTCGTCGCAGCCGCTGAGCGACGACCACTGTCAGTACTTCGTGTATCAGCTCCTGAGGGGACTGAAGTACGTTCACTCCGCCGCGGTGTTACATCGCGACTTGAAGCCGTCGAACTTGCTGCTGAACGCAAACTGCGACTTGAAAATCTGCGACTTTGGCCTGGCGCGAACGGCGAAGGGCCCGGAGGACTTCCTCACCGAGTACGTCGTCACGCGATGGTACCGCGCGCCCGAGCTCTTGCTCTCGTGCGCGGAATACACCGCCGCGATCGACGTGTGGAGCGTGGGGTGCATCTTCGCGGAGTTGCTCGGACGCAAGCCGCTGTTCCCGGGGAAGGACTACGTGCATCAGCTGAATCTCATCACGCGCGTCATCGGTTCCCCGAGCGAGGTGCGTTCTCCTCACACTGACTGGTCCCCATACGACCGCGTCGGCGCGGTGAACGCCGATCCTTAAGGACTTTGCCCGGCGCATCTCTCCGCCCAGGGTCCCTCGCTTTCAATCCCCGCCCGCGTTGCCTTTCAACTCCGCTTCTGACGCCTTTGAACTCCACCCCGACGTCGCTTCGTATGGAACGACCCTGAGTCTGAGATGGCGTTCATCTCGAGCGACAAGGCGCGACGATACATCCGCTCGCTGCCCGTCTCCCCGCGCGTCGACTTCGCCAAGCTGTACCCGGACGCGGACCCGAGCGCGATCGACTTGATCGATAAGATGCTCGCGTTCGATCCGTCGAACCGCATCACCGTGGAGGAGGCGCTGTCGCATCCGTACCTCGCGTCGCTCCACGACGTCGACGACGAGCCGAGCGCGTCGGAGCCGTTCGCGTTCGGTGCGCGCTCCAGACTGTTTCCCATACGACCCCGTTCGCGTCTCGGACGTCGATCCTTAAGGACTGCCTCACCCGCCGTCGTGTCGTCGTTCTGTCGCTCTTCACCCGCGCGATCCTTTCGACGACGTGACGTCGTTCGTTTGACCGGCGAGACGCGCGACTGACCCGCCGTTCACCCCGTTCGCGCAGACTTTGAACACGGCGACTCGCAGCTGACGGAGGCTGGGGTGAGGGTGTTGACGCACGAGGAGCTGAGTAGTTTTTATAAGGAGATCAGAGAGGAGGAGGCGGAGGAGGAGGCGCGGGGCGGCGGCGGCGGCGGCGACGACGACGACGACGACGGCGGCGCCGGCGTCAAAGACGCTAAAGAGGTAGAAGACTAACGCGTCGTACGCATCTAATAGGACGACGCTCGCGGAGGGACGACCTCACGCTTTTCGGCACGGCGCACTGTGCTCGTACGCCCGCGCTCGCGCGCTCTTCGCCGATCCACCCCTACCAGGGTCGCCCCCAACGCTACTCGCACCCCCGCCCAAGGAGCCCGTCGTCATCGTCGCCTCCTTGGCTTTCATCGTCTTAAACTTCTCGTAGTTGTACGCGCACACCGCGGCGAACGCGTACGCGTACCCTCCGATCTGAGGGTCGTTCCATCATTCAAAGCGACGCCGGGGAGGAGTTCAAAGGCGTCAGAAGCGGAGTTGAAAGGCGTCGATGGCGGGGATTGAAAGCGAGGGACCCTGGGCGGAGAGAGACGCCGGGCAAAGTCCTTAAGGATCGGCGTCCACCTCGCCGACGGGGTCGTACGGGGACCGGTGTGAGATAGAACGCGCCTGCGTCGAGGTGATGGGCGCGTCGAACACCAACGACGAGAGGTATATCAACATCCAGTCCTTCACCGGCCCCGCGACGTTCATCGTCAGCGCGGACGTCTTCCCGATGAGGAGGTATATCGACACGTTCAGCATGAACGCGACCGCGGCGTTCGTCCACAGCACCGTGGGTTCCCAATTGATTTGTTTCCCGTCCACGGACGCGGGGTCCTGGGCGAAGCGATCGGGAACGCGTCGGTCAGTCGAACGTCTCACCGGTCAAACGTTGAAAGGGAAGCGCGGGTGAAGAGTGACGACGGACGGGGAAAGTCCTTAAGAAACGGCGTTCACCACGCGAACGGGGTCGTATGGGAAGCAGTCTCACCGCGTACGCCGCGGTCGGCCACCTCGGCGCGGCGAGCATCGTCGGCAGCTCCATCACCGCGAACGGGACGGACAAGAACGCGAAGCACGCGGGGGAGACGTAGTACAGCGTCGTGATGCTGTTCAGCTTGATGTCCGCGCTCGCGAGCAGGAGCTGCACGGAGACGATCCGAAACGCCTCCGCCGCCATGGATGCGATCAAAAACGTGAACCCGACGGCGTGAAAGTTGAGCTCCCCCCACGACGCGACGGACACCCCGAGCGCGATGTTCGCGAGGATGAACGCCATCTTGTGCGAGTACTTCTCCACGCGCATGCTGACCGCCGCGGCGAAGACGACCACGGGCATCGACGCCTTCACCATCTGAATGAACGACACGCTGAGATACAGGTACGCGCTGTTTCCCGTCCACAGGACGACGGCGAAGAGAAACGCGATGGGCAGGACCCTTCGCACGTACGCCTGCCGCGTCATCGCGACGCATCCGTCGACCACCTTGAACACCTTGACGAGCGCGTACGCCATGAACGAGCAGAACGCCATGTGTATCATCGTCAGCGCGATCGGGAACGGGAACCCGTGCACGGCGAGGACGTACTTGTTGTACAGGATGACGCCCGCGCTGAGCGCGATCCACAGCGAGACGTACGCGCACGCGGTCGTCGCCTCCCTCGTGGCGGTCGCGTCCATCATGATGGCGATCGTCGCGTCGCGTTGGCTTCGCGTCGGCCTCGCCCGCTTCGGCGCGTCCGTCGGCGCGGAGGACGCGGCGCGCGCGGCGGGATGGGCGGAGCGCCCGTCGACGTTCGCCTCGAGGAATGGCGAGCGGCGCCGAGGCGGACGCGGACTTTCCGACTGCAGTGCTGTAGCGGTCGGACGCCACCGCGTGCTGGATCTGGAGCTCCAACGGGCAGAGTCGAGCGCGCGTTCCCTCGCCCGCGAACGATCGTCGGCTCGAGGCGACTCGTCGCTCGCCGCGCAGAGAGCGCGAAGGACGCGCGAATCTCGACGCGGAGAGAGAGACAGGAGAGAGAGACAGAGAGAGAGAGAGAGGCTCGCGTCGCCGTCGTCGAAGTTTTTCTTCGCGGCTTCTGATCGGCGCGATGGCGTTCCGAGCGACGGCGAGGGCGCTCCTGGCCGCCCCCGCGCGCTCGCCGAGCATCTCGTTCCCCGTGCGCGTGCGCCCCGACGGAAAGAAGGTGTCGGACCTTCCGCTGGGTGCGTCCGCCGTCTAAACCCGCCCGCGCGGCGACGCCGCCCACCTTCTCGTCCGTCGATCCCTCGTCCGCCCCGCCCCGTGTTTTAACTTTTATTAACATCCAACCATCCTTCCCTTCCTTCCCCGTCGCAGCGGAGGCGGAGGCGTTCCTGGCGAAAGCGTCCGGCGCGCCCGGCGCGGCTTCCGCGCCCGCGCCGTCGCGCGGCGTCGCACCCCGCGCGCGCCCGGCGCCGATCCCGTTCCCGCGCCCGGACCCGCCGAGGCGGACGCTGTCCGAACTAGAGATGGAGACGGTGATGCTCGGAGGCGCGGCGCCGTGATCGTCTATCCTACACTAGCTATCGCGTGACATCACACGACCTCGCTACGCTATCCTCCCCCTGCTCTACTTCTTCTTCTCGCCGTCGAGGAGGTGACTGTTCCGCGCGACGCGCGCCGCGCCGCCCTCGATCGCGAGCGCGCCCCCCGCGCCCGCCGCCGCCGCCGCCGCCGCCGCCGCCGCCGCCGCCGCGGCGCGTCGTCGAATGTCCTCCACCGCCGCCGCGTCCAAAGCCGCCGCGCGCTGGGGGACGTTCACCACCCTCGTGACCTCGTACTCGAGCGGCTCTCGGGATGCGGTGGACACCACGCGCGCGACGTCCGCCTCCGCGACGGCGGCTTTGCGTTTCAGCGCCGCCGCGTCGCTCACCGCCCTCGCGCGCGACGCCACGGCGATTTCGGCGGCGATTCGGGCGGCGCCGTCGTCGTCCGTCTCCGGCTCCGACTCCTTCCCTCCGAGCGCGAACATCCCGCTCGCGGCGAGCTTCTTCGCGCGCGCCGCCTCCTGCGCTCGCTTCTTCTCTTTCGCCGCGCGAATTCGCGCTTTCTCCGACGCGTCAGATGAAGCGGAAGGAGGCGCGCGCGGCGGCGGCGGCGGCGGCGGCGGCGCGGCCTCCTCGACGATTTCAGGCGGCGGCGGCGGAGGCGGGGCGTCG